AAGTGAGGTTACTTCATTTGCATAAGCATATTGATCAGTCCTTGCAAGATGTATCAAATAGACCAATCACAGGCTGATTCAACAGCTGTAGGTTTGCTTTGGGGTTTCCGCTAGTCAAGTAGGTTATCTAAACACTAAATTTAAGTTATGTAAAAGTAACCACCCGACAAAGGAGAAATGTTCACAACATCCAAATCCAGGGGCTAAGGGAAGATTTGTGTCTGAGAAGCAATGCAGTGATAATTGACGCAGATATACTGGATGTAATCTTACGCAACTAGCTCTTGCATCACATGTTAGTGACGTTCATCTCTGATGTATGTGGCTCTCAGACATATGTTTGCCGTTTTCAGTATTCTCACGTGTGGATATGTATTTCATGAGCTTGAACATTCATCATAAATGGCAAGATCCCTCCCTCCTTTTTTAGCAGCCTGAAATATTTTCTGTATCTTCTCACTTTTATGACTGGACTTCTTACATACTCCTTCCTCTACCCTTATATATTATCTTAGAGAAGAATAGCGTAGCTCATGTTCAGAAGGTTCTAGGCTCCCTTTTACTGTATTTGAGTTAGCCTGTCTGCAGTATGAGGACATCGCCTCTTCAGTCTGCTGTCAAGGTGGTGAGCCTCATTGGAAGGGGCTGCTGGGTGAGTCATAATGAGGCACAAACGCAGATTTCTTCTTCTCAGTCTCCACTGTAGAAGGATGATGAGTGGCACTCAGCTGCCTGGATCACTGAGACAACCTCTATGGAGTTATATCCAAATTATTAGATTTTGGGGGAAAGCAATAGACAGCACATTTGACCATAATTCCAAGCCACATTCCCCATCTGAGCAGCATCACCAACAAAGATGACATTTCAGTCTTCATTTCCTTGAAAACATCCACTGTTTCACTTTTTAGAACTCATTTGGGGATAGAAGAACTGTGATTAATCATTTTTAAATCTTTGTATTTTTAACATTTTTTTTTTTTTTTTCCTGAGAACCAGAAGAAAATTAGTCTTTTAAAAAGGGTGGATAGATGGGTGGATAAGCTGAACTATCAGGTATGTCTACACAGGGGGCAGTGTGCTCAAGACCATGTATAGGGTTGACTTACAATGCTTCTGTAAGTGTATTGGTATATTTTGTAAGAATTCCCAGGTATATAGTATTGCTGACAAGGGACAATGTTGTAGTCACTTCTTGGCCACAACCAGCGACCCAGACGGAGCGAGTATCTGGACCTGTGTGCTCGGGACCATAGTCACAGGGGACATAGAGCTCAACTGGCATAACATACTACACAAAAACACTGTTCCACATCCTACATTGGCGAGTAGCGACTGGAATCTTAAAAGCTTGCAAGCAGCCATCTAGATGCAACGATGGGTCTCTCCTCATCCAGAGCAAAGAAAAAAGAAGAAAACCAAAGATTCATGGAAACAATTAGTCCAAGTGACTTGTACACCATGCGATCCTCAGCCTACACGACTATGAGACCAGAACTAGATGGTGCCCAACTACCACAGTCAACCACTCAGAGGGATTCTAGGTAGGAGATACTGGATAGAGAGGGAGAACAATGTGGAACAAAACTCAAAATCATTGAAAAAAAAAAAACCAGGGACTAGGTTTGCTGGTCTGATAGAGCCTGATGGAATCACTGAGACTACAGCCCCTAGCTGCCCTTCAGGTCTGGATTTGAACCCACTCCTGTGACTTCCAGCCAAACCAAAGACGGGTACTGAGGTGAACATTTACAGTAGGTAGATACATTCCTTGGAGAGAACAATCATGGGAGAATAGAAGGGCTGTGTATACACAGGGAGACAGCTCAGAGGGCAGGAGTACATGGAGGGAAGGACATAGGGAAGAGGTAACTATGGGGAGGATGTGAGAGGAGAGCTGTTGCATTGTGGTCAATTGTAATCAATGTCATGAGACAAAGTGTATGTGAATTGCTGTATGGAAACTGAATTTGCTCTGTAAACTTTCATCCAAATCACATTAAAAAAAAAAAAAAAGCATCTAAAAAAAATCACTGCTGTCAAGTTGGATCCTACTCATAGTTAAAAAAAAATAAAAAGTTTGGTGTTATTATTTAAAAACTGAAAATAAAAAGAACTACCAGATCCATTTTCATCTATCAACAAAGGAAAACAAAGGTATGTGGTATTGTATTGCAGAGTTCTTGTTTAATCTTAAACTTGAATACATCCTTACCAATTTATATGCTCTACAAATTTAAAATATTTTAGCATTTTTCTGTCATCACTACATGTAAAAACCAGAACAGGAATTTCATGGCTGACAATTCTCTTTCATTATCTTGTGAAATTTTAAAATCACTGTATAGATGCTGTACAAAAACACTCAGACACAAAGCACATACACACATCCGGGACTGATTTTACTTTACTGCTGTGTCTGTCCTGTTTACCCGAACATGTGACAGTGTTACTCAGTACACTGATGTTATCTGCTGTTCATAACTTACTTAGTGCTATGTTTTCTATATACATGATAACATAGATGGATTGGGGTTTGTATTATAAAGTTGTTTACATATGAACAACATCTCCAACATCATTAATTATACATTTCTCCTCAATAAATATTATCGGATCCACAGTAAGGGTGTGGATGCCACATCAGAGATGTCTCCATTCACAGGTCTTTTTCAGTCTTCTGTATCCTTTGCTATGAAAAGAAAAGTTGTTTATTGGAAAGTTGTTTCAGCATTCACAGCATTCGTGGGATTTTCCCTTAGTGAAAATTGTCTAATTTATGACGACTTGTTTTCCAAAGTGTTCCAACATTTGTTGTACTCAAAAGGTTTCATTTCCATGCAACGTACAATCCAATTTCTTATGACAAGATTTCTACAATTTGATTCATTCATTGCTTTTCTTCTCTGATTTCCCTGATAAAATATGAGGCTACATCATTAGGGGACAATTTTCCATGTTCACTACATTTAAAATATTTCTCCTAGTTGAGTTTTCTTATGCTTACAAAGTCTAAAATTACTGGAAAACTATCTGGACTTTTGTAGAATTTATAGGATGTTTCCTGAGTGAGTTCTTTTGTATTCAGAACTTGACATCTCACTCAAGTCTTTCCAGCCCTCACTGTGCTCCTGGGGTTTCTGTCCCATGTGGATTTCCTGGTGTGAAGTGAGAAAAAACTTAACAGAGAAAGTTTTTCCACATTCATTACATTGGTAGGGCTTTTCTCCTGCATGACTTCTCTGGTGGACACTGAGGTATGATTTTTCAAAAAATGCTTTCCCACATTCACTACACTGATATGGTTTCTCCCCTGTGTGCCTCCTCTGATGTCGAATGAGCTGTGACTTCTGGTTGAAGATCTGCCCACATGGAATGCAGCCATAGGGTTTCTCTCCCGTATGGCATCGTTGGTGAATAATGAGATGGCTTTTTTGCCGGAAGGCTTTACCACATTCATTGCATCCATGGGGTTTCTCGCCTGTGTGAATCAGCTGGTGTCTACTGAGCATTGCCATACTGCTGAAGGCCTTCTGACATTGGAGACAGACAAAGGGTTTCTCTCCTGTGTGTGTTCTGTGATGGACAATGAGCATTGCCTTTCGTATGAAAGCCTTTCCACACTCGGCACACTCGTAAGGTTTCTCCCCTGTGTGCGTTCTGTGATGGACAATGAGGTGTGACTTGTCTATGAACGCTTTCCCACACTCCTTGCATTCATAAGGCTTCTCTCCTGTATGAATTCTCTCGTGAGTTATGAGAGATGACTTTTTATTAAAGGCTTTCCCACACTCCTTGCACCCATAAGGTTTCTCACCTGTGTGAGTCCTACGATGGACAATAAGCTGTGAGTTGTCTATGAAGGCTTTCCCACATTCAGTGCACTCGTAAGGTTTCTCTCCTGTGTGAATTCTCTGATGTGTAATGAAGTGGGATTTTTTATTAAAGCTTTTCCCACACTCCTTGCATCCGTAAGGTTTTTCTCCTGTATGAGTTCGCTGATGTACGACGAGCTGTGACATGTGTATGAAGGCTTTCCCACATTCACTGCATTCATAAGGTTTCTCTCCTGTATGAATTCTCTGATGTGTCACGAGGTGCGAGTTTTTATTGAAGGCTTTCCCACATTCGCTACATCCATAGGATTTTTCTCGAGTATGAACTCGCTGGTGGACAATGAGCTGAGACTTACTACAGAAGGCCTTGTCACAATCTCTGCACCCATAGGGTTTATCTCCTGTGTGAATTCGCTGATGAATAATCAGGTTTGACTTCTGGATGAAAGCTTTTCCGCAGTCACCACACTTAAAAGGTTTCTCTCCTGTGTGAGTTCTGTGATGTAATCTGAGCTTTGTCTTCTCCCTATAAGCTTTACCACATTCTTTGCATTCATAGGGTCTCTCCCCTGTATGAGTCCTTTGGTGAAGAATGAGGTGGTATTTTGTTCTGAACGATTTCTGACACTCAATGCATCCGTATGGTTTCTCTCCTGTGTGAGTTCTCTGGTGCAAAGTGAGATGACACTTTGTACTGAAAGCTTTGCCACATTCACTGCACCCATACGGTTTCTCTCCTGTGTGAGTTCTCTGGTGGATTATGAGCTTTGATTTATATTTGAAGGACTTTGGACAGTCACTGCATTCATAAAGTTTCCCATCTGTGTGAATTCGGTGACGTCTTTTAAGGTTTGTCATTATGTTGAAAGTCTTTACATATGAGTTATACTCATAGTATTGGATTTGAAGGTGGGATTTTTCATGTTGTGCATGGAAAAATGTTTTCCCAAGACCATTTAATTCATCACAGTTCATTTTTGTGTAGTTTTTCCTCCAAAAATTTGAATCTGAATTTTGTTTCAAATTCATTCCTTTTGAGACATATTTATAAGGTCTTTCTATTAAAGGAACAAAGTTTTCATTCAGAGAAAATAGTTTCTCTGATGCAGTACTGTCATGGTCTCTGGCCACAGGCTCATCCTTCTCTGTGTCTTCCTGGCAGCAATCGTAAACTTGCCAGATTGCTTCTAGAAAATAAATTAATGAATCCTATCATTATCATGAATTGAAGAGGGATGGAATCGCAAGTCAGTTTTCAAAGACAACTGAGAAAGTTAAACACAATGGAAGTCTGAGACATGTGATAAAGAGATAATACGTAAAGAATTGAGGGGCATGGATGTGCTCAACCTTGGGAAAGAGTCTATAAATATTTGAAAGTATAATAGTAGAGATATATGAATATGGATAAGAGACAGGAGAGGTCTGGTCTGAACCAGAGTAGATATAAACCAAACTCACTGCCATCGAGTCAATTCTAACTCATAGCAACTCTCACAGCGTTTCCAAGGCTGTAAATCTTTATGTAAGCATGGCTCATCTTTCTTCCACACAGTGGCTAGTGGGTTCGAACCACCGACCTTTTGGGTAGCAGCCAAATGTCTTAACCACTACACCACCAGAGCTCCTTAAGAGTAGATATGTTGTTATTATGTGCTGTTGAGTCAGACCTGACTCATAGCGACCTCTCCTTGGGTTTCCGAGGCAGTATCACTATGGAAGTAGATTGCCCTATCTTCCTTCCGAGGAGTGGCTGGTGGGTTTAAACCTCCAGCCTTCTGGTTAGCAGTCAAGTGCCTTAGGCACTACGCTATCAGAGCTCACAAGAGTAGATATAAGGATATATAAATATAGATATATTTTTCTCCTAAGTAGGTGCCCTACTGGAGAGTCTTATATGGAATGCTGGTAAGTAGAGGAGGATGCATCATTCCTACCAAACACCTCTTGTCATTCATTCTAAGTCATATCTAAAGGTTCAGAGATCATAAGACAAAGTATTGTAAACACTTAACAAATTTACAACCCATCAATGACCAACTGGTACTTTAACTCCAGTAATTCTCAATGCATTAGTTTCACTCACCTGGACTGCACTGACTTGGAAATTCCTTCTTTACTATCCCTTGTTCTCCTTTTTCTAACCGGCCAACTACTTCTGGCTTGGTGGCTTGATAACCTGTGGTCAATCACAGAGAACCTGATAACTATTTTGGCTTCTGAGGAAAAATCTGTTTCATTATATGTGGTTAAATCTCAGCCAAAAAAAAAAAAAAAACTTTTCATTTGGAAAGTGAAAATATATACGTTCACTGACTGTAAAGAAAATAATTTCTATCACATATCAAAGTGAGAGTCCAAATCAATGCAGATATCTGAGTGCAGGTAATCCCTAATTTATGATGAATCTGAGTTACAATGAACCACACTTATAACCGTCTGGTGACTTTTTTGTACATCTTATCATTAGTAGTTACCTACTACATACGATGTTGCAGTGCATCACTTGCTGATGTTATCATTCTCAGATGGTCACCTGAAGATGTTCAATGTTAGGACTCACTGTTCAAAAACTGCTGTATAGCAGGCAACAATGAAAATTTAAAGAGGTATTCAAATTTCATCAGAAACAACTTATGACAGAGTTGGTCAGAACAGAACCCTGTCGTAAGTTGGGGACTTCCTGCATTCATAAATTGTAGCAATATTTTTAAAAAAATAGGCAATTAATGGGTTTGTTGTTGTTGTCAGCTGCTGCTGAGTCAGTTCTGACACACAGTGGCCCGATACCCAACAGAACGCCTCTGTAGAGTCCTGCACCCTCCTCACAATCCTCGCCATGCGTGAGCCTATCACTGCAGCCACTGTGTGAATCTACCTCATTGAAGGTCTTCCCCTTTTTCACTGACCCTGTACTTCACCCAGCAGGATGCACACTTCTCCAGGGAATGGTCCCTTCTGACAACATGACCAAAGTATGAAAGACGAAGTCTGGACATTCTCACATCTAAATAATATTCTGGGTGTATTTCCTTCAAGAAGCTAGTAAGTTTACTCTGAGATATAAGAGAAATTGTCTTTACCCAATGACATTAGATTGCTGTAATTTTCCAACATCACATCTCGGTAGAGGTTCTTCTGAAGAGGGTCTAATAACTGCCACTCCTCTGAGGAAAAGTCCACAGCCACATCATTGAATGACAATGCCTGTAATGACATGTTCCTTTTTAATCTGAAGTTTCTATGCAATAAAATGTAAAAAACCTAGAGGACCTTCTTTAAAATATTTTTTACTATGGAAATATATGCACAAATTTCTGTTTACCTCATTTTATTTAATACTTTGTGGACTAAATTCATTAAAACTATCTTTCTTTATGGTTACTTCATTCACTTAACTTCATTCATTCGTCTAATGTGAAACGTCTTTAAATATTTTAAACTACCTACAAACCCCCTATAACCTACATATGGCACATCTGTCCCTCCACTATATATAATGCAGGAGCTCTGGTGGCACAGTGCCTAAGGCATCTGACTGTTAACCAGAAGGCTGGAGGTTCAAACCCACCAGCTACTCCTCAGAAGGAAGACTGGGCAATCTAGTTCCATAGTGATACCACCTCAGAAATGCAAGGAGGGGTCATTATGAGTCGGATCCAACTCGATGGCCGTTAAGTTTGTTTTTTTTTTTTTGGTTTTATACGTGATGCAATGAAAACATTAATGAAACAGTCACACTCTCAAGTAGCTTCTGATGGCATAGAGTGGCATATATATGTCAAGGTGTTATAGTTTAACAAGGGTTACAAAGAAGTAGGAGTCATGGTGGTGCAATGGTTAAGCTCTTGGCTGCTCATTAAAAGGTTGTTGGTTCAAACCCACCCAGAAAGACCTAGCAATCTGCTTCTGTAAAGATTACAGCCTAGAAGACCCTATGAGGGAGTTCTTCTCTCTCACATGGGGTCACTATTAGTTGGCATTGACTCAATGGTAAGTAATAACAACACTATTACAGAAGTAAACTCAAGTTGAAATGTGAACACGAATGGATAAAGACATACTTGTTCTGAAAAAGGGGTCAAATGGGGAAGCTGGTATTGTGATTAGTAGTGTGTCTCATAGTGAGAGACAGAAGAACCTTCCAGAAGGGAGCAGGCTGTGTAAAGGTGATACACACCATGCTGAGCTTAAGAAGCACAAATGGTTTCATGAAGAGGAGGAGAGGCTATGGGGGCTCAAGGGAAAAGATGCCAAAGTGCCAGGCGAGAACAAGTATTTGAGCAACTGTGCACGTTTCCTGCAAATACAGGCTCGATACTTCATTGTTTTTCATGTATGGGAGTGCGGTACGCTCAGAATTGCCATTTAGAAACTGCACTACAGTTAAATGATAAGGATGAAAATAAGCATGGCACTCGTACACATGCCACGTGTATTTATTAACCCAATGCTCCTCACAGTAACCCTGTCAGTACTGTTATTTCCTTTTTTTCAAAGATAATGGATTGAAGAAGTTGTGTAGCTGTGCCTTTTACATGTCCTACATTTTCTTAAGAAGATAACTATTTACTGAGTCCATACTCCAGATCAGGAAGAGGACGCCCCATCACAGACATTTCACTGACCTTAAGGAATTCACCTGCTTTCTCCTATGGACACAGTATATCTTGTAACTTTTTTTTCAGTCTTGTTGTGGTCACCAGTATTACCATAGAAAAAACACAACTCAGCTTTGGATCTTGCTGCTTATGAGGCAATGTTCTGGTTATTAGCACACCTTGTGGGCCCTTACGACATGCAGAAAGATCTGCCTCCCTGATTGGCTAGTCTTCTGTGTCCCAGTGTAAGCACATCCCTCCCGGCCACGGTATACCTAACACACTGTCCCATTTGATCACATACATTATTATGAACCTCAGAAATCTACTGGGAAACAAACGGCTCACCTGGGCCTTGGTCATTTTCAGCAGCTCTCGGGAAGTGGCCAGCACTCTCGTGTCCGTCTGCCCTTAAGTTCTGGAAATGGTGTTTCATCAAGGCTTCCTCAGCAAGGATGAACTTCTTGACCTGTGATTGACTTTCTTCCTGTACAGGAGCTGCCTGTGTCTAGCAAGCACCTATGGGTTCAAACCAAGATTTTATCTGGCAATAACGATAACAAGTTACTAACAAGGACTGTTTTCAGTGTGTTATTGTCTTAATCCTCACAACAACCCTGTAAGGTACAGGCTACAATTAGTCCAAGGAGCTCTGGTGGCACAATGGTTAGGCACTCGGCTGCTAACCAAAAGGTTAGCAGTTTGAACTCAGTAGGCACTCTAGGGGAGAAATATATGGCAGTCTGCTTCTGTAAAGACTGACAGCCTAGGAAGTCCTATGAGGCATTTCTAGGGGCACTGTGAGTCAAAATAGACTCAATGGCAGTGGGTATGACTTGAGCTTTGCTTCTGTAAAGATTGACAGCCTTGGAAACCTTGTGGTGCAGTTCCCCTCTGTCCTCTAGGGGCACTGTGAGTCAAAATCGACTCCATGGCAGTGGGTGTGGTTTGGGCTTTGCTTCTGGGAAGATTGACAGCCTTGGAAACCCTGTGGGGCAGTTCCACTCTGTCCTCTAGGGGCGCTGTGGGTCAGAATGGACTTCAGGCAGTGGGTGTGGTTTGGGCTTTGTGTCTGTGAAGACTGACAGCCTTGGAGACCCTGTGGGGCAGTTCCACTCTGTCCTCTAGGGACGCTGTGAGTTGCAATGGACTCGGCGGCAGTGGGTTTGGTTTGGGATTTGCTTCTGTGAAGACTGACAGCCTTGGAATTCCGATGAGGCAGTTCCACTCTCTCACCTAGGGGTGATGTGAGTCAGAATCAACTTGATGGTACACAACAACAACAACACAAGAAAACTGAGAATGGAAAGCTCAAGCCGTTAGCTAAAAGTCACACAGCTAGTAACTGATGAAGCAAAGTCTAAAACACAAGTCCTCTAAACTGGTAAGATTCTGCTTCTGGGCAGAACTACCATCCCATCTGAAACTATAAAAATACTGCAAAAAAATATATGAAACAACTATTTTTGGGCACAAAAGGATCAGAGGAAGGGAAACAAACAAGATGAGTTCCTGAGGATGCTAAAGCAGTAGTCAAGGGAGCGAGAGAAAGAGAGTGTGTACACCCTGGAGATTCGCAGCTGGTTCCTTCGGGTCCATGATGAGCCAACTACAAGGAACTACCAAGGTCATGGTAAGAACTACTGGCAAAGAACAGGTAGTACAATTCCTGGAACTCACACAAGGTCAGGAACAGTTAGTGCTTCCAACAGCCAGGGTGGGAAGACCTACCAATACACCAGGCTTCAAATGGAACCCTCGAAAGGGCATTACCTCAGGAATGGGGCCTAAGTAATCCCACAGAAAAGGCTTTTCCAGAACTGCCTAACAAAGCTTACATGCAAGTCTCACAAGGATCAAAGTGCTTCAAAATTACATCCCAGGACAAGCTTCAAATGTCATCAAAGAAATATAACAAACTCCAGCAGCCTACTATGTGAAGTAGACAAAGTCTAGCATCTGATCCAAAATTACTGAGCATGCAAAGAAGCTGGAAAACAGGACCCATAAACAGGAGAAATAATCAAACAAGAGAAACAGACCAGAGATGTCAAACATGATAGAACTACCAAACAAGTACATGAAAAATGCTACTATACAATGTAATCAATGCAACTGAATTGTACACATGGAAACTGTTGAGATGGCATGTTTTGTTACATATGTTTTCACAATAAAATTTTAAAATGCTGTTAGAAATATAATCCATACACTCAAGAAGGTAAAGCATGAGCATCGTGAGAAAATCAATAATAAAATGTTTAACAAATGCTGCTGCATCAACTGGATACCCATGTCTACCTCATACCACATGCAAAACTTAATTCAAAATGGATCATAAACCTAAGTGTGACAGTTAAAACAACTGGGAAAAAAGAATAGAAAAAAAAATTTAATAGATTAAACAATTACTTCTTAAATAAGACATATAAAGCATGATTTTTAAAAATTGTTGAATTAAATTTTATCAATACTAAAAACTTAGGATCTTCAAAAACACTTTAACAAAAGAAGAGAAGATAAGCCTATGGCTGGGATAAAATATCTGCAAATCGTATACCTGAGCAATGGACTTCTATCCAAAAAATATAAAGAACTTTTCCAACACAGTAAGAAATTAAAGAACCCAATTTTAAAAACGAACAAAAATTCAACAGAAAGAATATTATTGTTGTTGTTACAGGCCATCAAGTTGGACCCGGCTCATAGCAACCCCTCCTTGGGTTTCCAAGGCAGTATCACTACAAAAGTAGATTGCCTAACCTTCCTTCCAAGGAGTGGTTGGTGGGTTTGAACCGCCAACCTTCTGGTTAGTAGTCAAGTGCCTTAGGCACTACATCACCAGAGCTCCTCATTGAATATTTGTTGTTTTGTTGTTATTTGCCGTTGAGTCGGCCCCGACTCATAGCGACCCCTCCTTGGGTTTCCGAGGCAGTATCACTATGGAAGTAGGATT